CAGGCCACAAGGGATCCCCCAGGCGCTTAGTGAGGCCAGCCAGGCCTCTGTGCAGTGCCAGGTTCTTCTGGCTCGGGCTGCGCTAAGGGCTCACAGGGGTACTGTCTGTGGGGAAGGGGATGTCAACGGCATCTGAGAGAAGTAGCTTCTGACCACCAGCAGCAGACAAGGGGTCCTGTCCTACCTTCGGGCAACCCAGGAGGTCAGAGACCTGTGAGAGCCATACAGGGCAGAGGTGAGGCCTTGGCTCAATGCTTCTGCTCATATGACCTAAGCTCTGGGGCTCTGTTTGCTCATCCCGACAGTGGGTCAGGAGAGCCCTCAGCGATGCCTGCATGGTCCACCCTTCCTGGCCACTGTGCAATGCCCACCTTGCAGCTCCAAGCTCAACCTGTGCTTGCAAAGGCAGGGGTGTCCCAGGCTGATCTCAGGGAGCCCCCACAACATCCCTCTGTGCCCTCTTCACAGTTCAGCTGTGAGGCTACCCTCCTTGCCTGCTCTACCAGGCACATGTCCCTCTAGACTGATTGGGAGCCCAGGTCCACAGAACCCAAAACAGGCTGTCAAGACCCTCTTGGTGTGTAGCTGCCACACAGGTACCCTCCCAGGACATCATCCCAGGAGGCCACAGCAGCATGTTCTACCCTACACTATTAACCCGTTAATTAACCAGTTACTCCATGTGCCAGGATGATTGTGAGCCCTGGCCCTCTTTATTCCCCTTTGGGAGGAGTCTGGACTGGGTCTGCATCTTGGACCCTTTGTGGAAAGCACCTCTGGGGAGGGGGGAGAAGGTCTCAGCCTGGACTGGGGAAGGGCAGACAGCATGCTCCTGAGGACCATACAGGCAGAAAGCTTATGGGAGTTCCAGGTCCCTCACCTAGGCAGGTGTCTAGATCCCCCTTGGACCTCCACGGGCTGCTTCTCTCTGCATCCTTGACCTGCTGGCACTGGGGAGGTCAGCACCATCCTTGCTTGTGCATAGAGCTCTTTGCTCCTTTCCCACCAGGGTCGTGTCCGTGGCAGAGATGTCCAGCAGGGGATCCTGGGTCTCTGTGTGCTCTGTCCTGTACTGAATCAGTATGAAGGACTTGAAAACTCACACTACCATTAACATATATCTTTTGCACCTTACTATTTTAAGATTACTCTTCTTCCAAATTTGTAAAAACAAATAGTGAGACTTCTGTGTATAATTGAAACTAGATCATCACATTATATAGTTTCCATAAAATTTATTTTTATATGTAAATGCTAACCATTGAATTTTTGTTTTCACCTTTGTTCAAATTATTGTTAACTGTTTTGAAGGCAAAATCTTAAAATATATGCTTCATAAACAATAATTTTATTAAAATATTAGATTTGTGTGCATGTGAGTGTGTGTATGGTACTGGGAATTAAACACACAGTGTTTCACTGAGCTACATCTTCACCCCTTCTCCCCCATTGTAGTGGATTAACTAATGGGCAACTTGGAACACCCAGTTGAACTGAGTCAGCGTGGTTCTGGGCATGGAAGACCCACCTGAGAATTGTTGCCAACCACATAAAAGGAGAACCAGAGGGGTTGTTGATTTTCCTGGAAAAGCTAGCCATGGCTGGTTTTCCTGAAAGGAATTTGGCTGTTATCATCAGAGGAGCTCAGGTCCTCACTGTCACTGGGAATAGCTGCTGTTTTCATCAGGGGGCTCTGGTATTAGACTTGTCACTTCCTGGCTCCTGGGCAGATCCCTCAGTCTGGTGCATAGATCCTTCACCGCAGCAGCGCAAATTTTCTAGCTTCTACCACAGGACTTCCTGGTGCAGATCCTCAATACAGACTTGCATGAGACATTGCTCTGGGCTCTAGGCCTCTGGCTGGACTCCTGGAGAGCATTGCCTTGGGCTCTAGGCCTTTAGTTGGACTTGTGTGGGACGTTGCTGTGGGATCCAGGCCCTTGGCTGAATTCTTTGGATCTCTAGCATGTAGACAAATCTCTTGTACTCCTCTGCATTTTCCTTTTTAGGTGAATATTATAAAATAATCATACAAGTTATGTGTCCTGTATTAAATCTATTCCCCTGCAAACCCTGACTATAACACCCATTTTTGAGACCGGACTTCCTAAGTTTCCCAGGCTGGCCTGGAACTTGTGATCTTCCTGCCTCACATAGCTGGGATTACAGACACCACCACACCAAGCATTAGAGGATTACTTACAGATGTAGAATATAAACATCAAAGAAACACCTCTGTCTCTTACTCACATTAAAATAAAATTTCAGCGTCTCTGGCCTCGCTCGCCTTGAGGGGATGGTTCCATCATGGCTTCAATGCAGAAACGACTACAGAAAGAACTGTTGGCTTTGCAGAATGACCCACCTCCTGGGATGACTTTAAATGAAAAGAGTGTTCAAAATTCAATCACACAGTGGATTGTAGACATGGAAGGTGCACCAGGTACCTTATATGAAGGAGAAAAATTTCAACTTCTATTTAAATTTAGTAGTTGATATCCTTTTGACTCTCCTCAGAGATGACCACCAGATAATTCTTTCTTTGTGTGAACATGTAACAAGAATCCAAAGAAAACAAAATGGTGGTATCATGATGATACTTGTTGATGCCACTGTTATCATCCTCCTAGCAGAAGATAGTCCTACTGAGAAAATGAGCACTTTGATTATTCAGTCTTTGAATTTTAACCTTTGACTGGAAGTGACCTATAGGCAGTGAAGACTACTTCCTTTTACTGCGTTTTTACTCATGTGCATTCTGGGTGCATGTTGATCACTGGTTCAGTTCATGCAACTGACATGCTTTTATTAGTCATACAGTATTAATGCAGGTGTCAAGAAATGTCAAATATAATTCCATTTTTTAATTTTTTTAAAGCTTTTGGAAGAGTTCCAGGTCCTCATGCATTGTGCAATAACAATGATTTCCTTGGTGGTTTTGGTTCATCCATTGCCGGCAATGGGCGTTGTAACAGGAAAAGTTTTCATTAACTCCTGCCATTCAATGATTAATGCATGATAGGGCCTATGAGATGAATTTACTGGTTATAGTGGGATTATAATTAAAATGAGGGATCCAGCATTACTTTGAAAGACACCCCAATTGCTTACATTTGGATTCTATGCACTGTGATCCTAAGGTTAACAGCATGAATTAACATGTGTCTTTAAAGGACTGTAATGGAAGATCATTGAGTATTTATTTGTTTATATCTGCTGTCAGATTGTTTTGACAATGGAAGGTTTTCAAGTCACATTGGCAGAGAGGTACAGTATGTTATCCCTATGGTGAAAATAAATTCATTTGCTGTATATAGTTCCTCAATCTCTGAAGTAAAGGTATGAGTAATA